CCAACCCCCTCCCACTCCCCCCCAACCCCCTCCCCCCCAACCCCCTCACACTCCCCCCCAACCCCCTCACACTCCCCCCCAACCCCCTCCCACTCCCCCCCCCACCCCTCCCAGTGGTGGTTTTCTTGTCAACGCCGTACCCAGGCGTCGTGGACGAGCCCAGCATCTACACCCGCCCCAGCATCCACCACGAGGGAGGGACGTTTCCCCCGAAAATGCCATGACCCCTGACCGCGTGTACTCGGTGAGATGGTGGGGGGGGGGGCACCCAGGGCAACTTCATGCATGCTGGAGTGGGTTGGCATGGCCTCGCGTCTGGGGTGGGTGGCATGGCCTCGTGTCAAGGGTGGGTTGGCATGACCTCGTGTCAGGGTGTGGGTGGCATGGCCTCGTGTCAAGGGTGGGTTGGCATGGCCTCGTGTCAAGGGTGGGTTGGCATGGCCTCGTGTCAAGGGTGGGTTGGCATGGCCTCGTGTCAAGGGTGGGTTGGCATGGCCTCGTGTCAGGGGTGGGTTGGCATGCCCTCGCGTCAGGGATGGGTTGGCATGGCCTCGTGTCAGGGTGTGGGTGGCATGGCCACGCGTCAGGGTGTGGGTTGGCATGGCCTCGTGTCAGGGTGTGGGTTGGCATGGCCTCGTGTCAGGGGTGGGTTGGCATGGCCTCGCGTCAGGGGTGGGTTGGCATGGCCTCGCGTCAGGGGTGGGTTGGCATGGCCTCGCGTCTGGGGTGGGTTGGCATGGCCTCGTGTCAGGGATGGGTTGGCATGGCCTCGCGTCAGGGGTGGGTGGCATGGCCTCGCGTCAGGGGTGGGTGGCATGGCCTCGTGTCAGGGTGTGGGTGGCATGGCCTCGTGTCAGGGTGTGGGTTGGCATGGCCTCGTGTCAGGGGTGGGTTGGCATGGCCTCGCGTCAGGGGTGGGTTGGCATGGCCTCGCTTCAGGGGTGGGTTGGCATGGCCTCGCGTCCTGGGGTGGGTTGGCATGGCCTCGTGTCAGGGTGTGGGTTGGCATGGCCTCGCGTCAGGGGTGGGTGGCATGGCCTCGCGTCAGGGGTGGGTTGGCATGGCCACGCGTCAGGGTGTGGGTGGCATGGCCTCGCGTCAGGGGTGGGTTGGCATGGCCTCACGTCTGGGGTGGGTGGCATGGCCTCGCGTCAGGGGTGGGTTGGCATGGCCTCGTGGCAGGGTGTGGGTTGGCATGGCCACGCGTCAGGGTGTGGGTGGCATGGCCTCGTGTCAGGGGTGGGTTGGCATGGCCTCGTGTCAGGGTGTGGGTGGCATGGCCTCGTGTCAGGGGTGGGTTGGCATGGCCTCGTGTCAGGGTGTGGGTTGGCATGGCCACGCGTCAGGGTGTGGGTGGCATGGCCTCGCGTCAGGGGTGGGACCCCTACGGCTCCTCCTCCCCATGCCGCTCTTTGGCTTCCCAAACTCTGCGGACCTTTGGCTGCCCCCCTTGTTGGGCAGTCGTTGTTATTGTTGTTGTTGAAAAACAATCCGCATCCCACCCCCGCCCCCGTAAATATTAAATATAATTTAACGTAAAGATAATTGGTTAAATATGGCAGGGAATGGGTCACTGTGGAATGCTTTGGTGACGGCAAAATGCACGACAGTCAAACTGTATTGTTAAAGATTAACTCGGGGGGGGGGGGGAGCGATATAAACTAAATAGACGAAGATAATTGGTTTTTTACCCTTTTATCTGGCAACAAAACTGACGCCTTTTTTACAAGGAGTCATGTTTACATTGACCACAATACCTGCGGTCGGAACGCAAACAAAAAAAAACAACAACTCTGATGGTGTATGCACTGTCCTTGAAATTGATTGGTCCACACCCGAGACAGCTTTCTTTAGAGCCTCGTCTCACATGGTGTTGTTACTGGCAAATGAGGTTTCCAATGGTGTAAATAGACGAAGTTTGTTCCACCACCGAAATTTTTATTGAAGTCAGAATGTATGTTGTCACCCGCTTGTATACCTGCTTTGGAGAGCGGTAGCGTAGCAGTTAGCGCTACGCTGTGCTACGAACCTGGCGACCCAGGTTCGATTCCCTCTCACGGCCAACACCACCAGTGACGATTATTATCTGAACCGGTCCTGGGCCTCCCCTAGGTCGACTCAGCCTCAAATGAGTACCTGGTGCGATGTGTAAACATCACCACTGGGGAGACAAAGGTGGCTGGGCGTGGCGTTGGCCACCCACCCCCTCGTGTGCTGTGGGGGCCTTCATAGGTGCTCGCTAATAGCACTTGCCCCAGCAGGCTATACGGGGGGGATCTTTGCCTTTTGTTTACCTGCTAATTTTTGTTACGTCAAAGATTGAACAAAACCAAAGAAACAACTCTTCTTTCTTACCTATAAAAGGTTACCGACCGCTGATCTCTCGGTAGCGCGTTCGCCGCTTGACGCGGAGGTTCGAAGTCTTCGGATAAGCCAGCGGCCGTCCCTGGCCCGCCACTCTTGTCGAGTGTAGCCACCGTGGCGATAGCCAAACGCCGCCTGTTCTACGGCGGACGTTAAAGATTCCCGTGACGTCGCTTCGCAAGAGGAAGCCGGCCCATTGTCCGCGCCACGGTCACGATCAGCACGCCCGGCTACGTACGGTGCGAAAGAAGTTCAACCGCAGGAGGAGTTTGACTTTTATATTTGGGGCCGGGGGGCAGGGGTTCGCTTTGTCCCTCACATTATGAATCGCGGGTGCACGTAATTATTTATCGTTTTAGACAGCAAACGACTGAAAACTAATTAATAACAGTGGAAGATGCAACTCGCTGGCTGTGGGTCCTTCACAGCCAGTGAGTGGCAGCAGTAGCTCTGTGCGGGAGGCCACCGTGTGGCAAGCAAAGGGTCCTTAAATCATTATCAAATAGAGCAAGTCAAGATCTATACGTATCTTGGGGTCATCCTGGCTTCAAAACTGAAATTTGAAGATCACATTGATTATATTGGTAAAAAGACAAAAATAAAAATTGGTTTTCTGTATCGACACAAGCACTGCTTCCCCCCAATGTTCCGTTTGGAATTGATAAAAGCTACCATACTGCCTCTACTTGACTAGTCCTAAATAAACTGCCAAATCGCTGCGCGTGGCGCTAACGTTTTTTATAAATAAATAAATGCACCGTTTAAAAATAAATTTATGCAAACCAACACACCTGAAGACGACCGTTTGTGTTATGGTCGAAACGTCGTGAGAATTTTTTTATTGTTTCATATATATTTTATTATTTTGTTGTTTCCCTTCAGCGTGACTTTACCGAAAGAACTAAGATTATATACTGTGACATTGTGTATAAATCAGCCCCAAGTACTGTACTGAAGAAGCTTGATTCCATCTATCACTCGGCCTTAAGATTGGCATTGAACTGCCCATATAGGACTCACCACTGTGATCTCTACATTGGGTCAAACTTAACATCTCTTAATGTACGACGGCTTGTGCACCAGATCTTATTTATTCACTATGTACTTACATAAAAAAATCCGCAGACTACCTGCTGGATCTCCTCTCTGTTTCAAAGAACAAATTTGACCTCAGGTCTTCGCTCATTTACCAGCTTCACATTCCCTATTGCCGTACAAAAACTGGAGGAAGGGCCTTTGCTATTGATGCCCCCAGGGTCTGGAATGTTATTGCCAATAAACTGCAACTTAAATCACTACCTATGAGATCTTCACTCAGAACTGCTCTAGAGGAGTTGTACACCCCTAGCTGTCACTGCTGTTCATTGGCGCAAAATAAAATAAAATGTTTCGCTCCGGATAACGCTGCAAAGTATTATCTGTATTTTGATTTAGCGTGCTGATCTTAAAGGTGCATTGAAAAATTTGATACTCCGACTGATGCTTCTGTTGTTGTGGAGTAACTCATGCAGCCAGCTATGGCTCTAGGATTTGTTATTTATGTAGTTTATTGTAAAAATTTCGGTCACAGTCCCTGTGATCACTGTTACGTTGCATTTATGGCTTCATTTTTTGGTGATTTCGAAAACGTTTTTTGATTGGACATGTTTGTTTTGTTGTAGTACGGAGTTAGACTGATGGCCTTAATCTAAGTTTTCTTGTGGTTGTTGTTGTTGTTTGACTTGCATCCCACTGGGATTTTTTTGCACATAGCGTTGGTGTACGGTGCTATTTCAGGAATATTTTGATGTGTTTTTTCATGCACTTTCTGTTTGCACAGTCACATAGTCACTTTAAGATGTTTTTCTTGTTCGTGTTTTTGTTTTTTGTTTGTTGTGGTTGCACCCGATTCAAGAGCCGAATGGCTCACAGGGCTATACCAAAATAAATAAACTGAAACTCCCCCCCAACCCCTCCCACTCCCCCTCCAACCCCCCCCCAACCCCTCCCACTCCCCCCCCTCCCACTCCCCCACCAACCCCCCCCCCCAACCCCTCCCACTCCCCCCCCCCCCAACCTCTCCCACTCCCCCCCCAACCCTCTCCCACTCCCCCCCAACCCTCCCACTCCCCCCCCCCAACTTCTCCCCTCCCAACCCCTCCCACTCCCCCCCCCAACCCCCTCCCACTCCCCCCCCCAACCCCCTCCCACTCCCCCCCCAACCCCCTCCCACTCCCCCCAACCCCCTCCCACTCCCCCCCAACCTCTCCCCTCCCAACTCCTCCCACTCCCCCCCCAACCCTCTCACTCCCCCCCAACCCCCTCCCCACTCTCCCCATCCCCTCCAACTCCCCACCCAACCCCTCCCACTCCCCCACTCCCTCCACCAACCCCTCCCACTCCACCCCCCTTCCCACTCCCCTCTCAACTCCTCCCACTCCCCCCAACCCTCCCACTCCCCCCCAACCCCTCCCACTCCCCTCTCAACTCCTCCCACTCCCCCACTGTTCGCGTGCTCAGCCACGACCCCCCCCCCACAACCACCCCCCCCAAATCGCTCCACCTGAACGTCACCGCGTGACGAAAAACTCTCGCGGCGGCCATCTTTGTAAGGGTAAACAAACTCGCTCCACCAATCGCGAACCCAGGAGGAGGGGGGGGGGGCGCGTGACGTCACATCCTCCCCCCCTGACCAATATGGCCGCCGCGACGTCACTCGCGTAACCGGATGCAGCGGGGCTCAGGATCAGCTGATGGTCTCTCCGCTCAGGGCTGAAGGTGGCTTTAACATTATTTAGTTTTTATCCGTTAACGTTTCACGTTAGCGTGCAATACTTTTCGTTTTTAAAAACCGAGGTTCGATTATACATTAAATTTGGGTGGGTGGGTGAGTGGGGGGGGCAGGGCAAAAATGTAAATATCACGCGATGATTACATTTGCTCGTATCGGCTATGAAGTAGAAGGCTCGTCGCTCGAAACGTCGTCCGTGATTATTTTTTTTGGTGGCGGCGGCGGCGGCGGCGGCGTTATTGCGATATCTGCGCAACATCGCTGCGCGTGATTAAGCTGTACGTTAGGGTACGGCTGTAACGTTGTGTAAAGTCGGTTGTCCAGATCCCTCTTGAGCGTAATCTTACATATATATTTAATAAATGAAGGTTAATTTCTAAACATAAATAAATATGCAGCGTAGCAAAAACTAAATGTTCGGGGTCGATTATTTTAATCGGTGGGGTGGGGGAGGGTCACAAGACTTCTGGACCGCCGCGTACCGCCAATTTTAGCTACGCGTTTAAGCGCTTAAAAGCGGTCAATTGTGTAAGTTTGCTTCTTCATACGCTCCGATCGCAGTCTCCGTGGGCTGGCGCCTGGTCAAATCAACCAATGTTTGTTTGAACGTTCACCCACAGGTAGCGTGTCCACGTGGTTAGCGCGGTTTTACCTCATTCATTGCAAAACTTTAAATCGAAATCATTGCAAAAACGTTTCCGTTTGGTGTTGACAACATCTTGACAACAACTCCTGTTTTTGTTTTGCCAGAAAGTGTCAAATCAATTCTCACACTGGCGTAGGAACCTCCTGGTTACACCACCACCACCAGCCCACAGGGGATTATTGTGTCTGTCCGTCCGTCGTGCATCCAAAAATGGGAGGGGTGGGGAGGGAGGGGCTGGGTGGGGAGTGGGAGGGGTGGGGAGGGGCTGGTCACCCCGTGGTGCCCTTATAAAACTCAACGTTTCACCTACTCACGGGCATATTGTGCGGAACACACCACGTGGTGCCGCCATTGTTGACCCTGGCCATTGACCGAGCAACCCAACGTTCCTTACCAGCTCCCTCCGCAGGAGAATGTGGTTTTTTTTGTATACTTTGACACTGGGGGAAAAAGCCGCTCAACCCCGAGCTATGAATGCCCTGATAGTGGCATTGCCCCTGTACTGTTCGCCTTTTCGTGTTGTTCTCTGGTCCAACACTGGTGGTGAGACCTGTCCCTAAAGAAGGCAGTCTCTGCTGTAGACCAATCAGTTTCAAAGACAATGCCCATATATTATCACATCATGTTTTGTTTAACGCGTAGACTTTCGCGACCGATATTATGAAGAGCACGTTTTGTTTGCATGTTCACAAGTACCGTCTGGTGAATAAAGTAACATAATTCGTTAAGGCCTCGACACAGAGACGTCTTTCTGTTTGTCTATGTTGTGTGTGTCTCTCTCTGTTTGTGTCTTTGTGTGAGTCTCTCTCTGCTTGTGTGTCTGTGTATCTCTCTGTTTGTCTCTATGTGAGTCTCTCTCTGCTTGTGTGTCTATGTTGTGTGTCTCTCTCTGTGTCTCTGCTTGTGTGTCTGTGTGTCTATGTTGTGTGTGTCTCTGTGTCTCTGTGTGAGTCTCTGCTTGTGTGTCTATGTTGTGTCTCTCTGTGTCTCTGTGTGAGTCTCTCTCTGCTTGTGTGTCTGTGTGTCTCTCTGTGTCTCTCTCTGTTTGTCTCTGTGAGTCTCTCTCTGCTTGTGTGTCTTTCTGTGTGTCTCTGTGTTGTCTCTCTGCTTGTGTGTCTATCTGTGTATCTATGTGTCTCTCTGTTTGTCTCTGTATGAGTCTCTCTGCTTGTGTGTCTCTGTGTGAGTCTCTCTCTGCTTGTGTGTCTGTGTCTGTTGTGTGTCTCTTTATCTCTATGTGTCTCTGTGTGTCTCTCTCTGCTTGTGTGTCTGTCTGTGTGTCTCCGTGTCTGTGTTTTGTCTCTCAAATTTATCAATCTTTGGAAGAACATAATCAACCAGGTGGGGTGTTGACTGTTGTGTTGGCCGACTCTCTGTGCTGTATTGCATTATATTTCCAAGTTTACCAGGTTTGTTTTCTCATTCATTTGTACCCGCTGATAGTTGCTTGTGTCGCAATCGAAACGTGGTATTCTTATTAATTTATTTAATTTCTTTCCACGTGGCTTTACCGAAAGAACCAAAGAGTATATAATTGGTTCTTTCGGTAAAGTCACGTAGAAGGGAAACAATAAAATAATAAAAATATAAAACAATATTGTTTTTATTGACTTTACCGAAAGAACCAAGAATTTGAATCCCTGCAGTCACGACAGTTTTAAATGAAAATTTAACCAAAGAGTAGTTTTATGTTTTGGTGTTTGAACGTCTTAACACAACAGTTTTATTGGCAGGAACAAATACAACAACTTTTCTTATACCTTTTTTCATGAGCTTTGATACTGGAAAAAAGGGCCCCGATTTTGACTTTGCTTACCCCGCGTTCCTGCCGGACATGTCGTGTGGATAAAGAGCTTCAAAGCTTATTGGATTCCTCCTGCAGTTAACCAAAATAAAGACTCCGATACCACTGAGCTACGTAAGCTGCTCTTTTGGCTATCACAAATGATAGCTCAACGAAGTTGGACTTATTATCATCATCACGTGGACATTTATGGCAACCACATTGCTCTAAACGCCTGACGTTGAGGGAAAAATCGGAGGACCCGGAGAAAAATCCACGCGACCACGGGGATAGAGAGACACGCAAACTCCAAATATACAGCAGGCGTCAGGGTCGAGATCGAACCCATGACCTCCTGTATACCAGGCGAGGTAGTTAACATCTCACCACGGAGAGAGAGAGAGAGACACGCAAACTCCAAATATACAGCAGGCGTCAGGGTCGGGATCGAACCCACGACCTCCTGTATACCAGGCGAGGCAGTCAACATCTCCTAGCCACCGTGGTGCGCTGTCTAAATAAATTACGTCAGTAACGGAATAACAAATCTCAACGCAGGCGATGGGTTATCTCTGTGAATTCAGTTCCACAGGTATGGCTGAAGCCACCGGAATTCCAGCCCTTGACGGCGTTCGTCGGCAGAACGACTCTGGGGATGTTACCGGCGGCGGCGGCGGCGGCCGTGTTGGTGGTGACGATGGCGGTGAAGGTGCGGTAGATCTCACCGGCGAAGGCGACGGCTGTGACGAAGCGACCGCAACACGAGCTCACGGTGACGGCGCCGGTTTGGAAGACCCTCCCGGCGACGCCGGTGCCGCCACCGCCGACGGTCCGGGCGGTCCTGACGGCGACGGACGTCTCGCCGCCGCCGCCGCCGCCGCCCACTCGCAGGCTCCGGAGTCTCGCCGCCACCGCCGCGGCAGCGCCGGCAACGCCGACGCCGGCGGCACCGGCGAAAACGGCGGCGGCGAAGCGTCCGACGCGGCGTCGCGGGCCGTGGAGCTGTTGACGCAGGGGTTGGTGTCTCACTACCTTCCCGACCTGCAGCGAGCGGGAAGGTCGCTGTCCGAGCTCACGTGAGTGAGCGAGCGAGCGAGCGCGAGCGAGCGTCCTGGACACCGGGCGGGGATTGGAGGTTTTAATTCGTGCTGTGGGAATCCGAAGAGCTACAAAGCTCTTTTTTATTTTTTTATTAACAGTTATCGTGAAGCGGGGGTTGGGGCCGGTAGCGGGTTGTGAAGGCGGTCAATGCCGTCGCACCGCGTGGATTGCTAGCGACTGGACGCGGCTGCGAGTGGAGCGTTGTTGAGTTAATAATCACGGGCAGAGCTACGTGGGAAGGAAGGCCACGATAGCCGGCGTCCTTTAGAAAAGACACGTCTCATGGAGAGACATCGACCCGCATTGCACACAGACTAGCATTGCCCTTAGACCAACATTGTCCATAGACTAACATTGCATATAGACTAACATTGCCCATAAACTGAGATTGTCCATAGACTAACATTGCCCATAGACTATCATTGCACATAGACTAACATTGCCCATACACTAACATTGCACATAGACTAACATTGCACATAGACTAACATTGTCCATAGATTATAATTGTCCATAGACTAACATTGCCCATAGACTAACATTGCCCATAGACTAACATTGCACATAGATTATAATTGTCCATAGACTAACATTGCCCATAGACTAACATTGCCCATAGACTAACATTGCCCATAGACTAACATTGCCCATAGACTAACATTGCCCATAGGCTAACATTGCCCATACACTAACATTGCCCATAGACTAACATTGCCCATAGACTAACATTGTCCATAGATTATAATTGTCCATAGACTAACATTGCCCATAGACTAACATTGCCCATAGACTAACATTGCACATAGATTATAATTGTCCATAGACTAACATTGCCCATAGACTAACATTGCCCATAGACTAACATTGCCCATAGACTAACATTGCCCATAGGCTAACATTGCCCATACGCTAACATTGTCCATAGACTAACATTGCCCATAGACTAACATTGCCCATAGGGTAACATTGCCCATATACTAACATTGCCCATAGACTAACATTGCCCATAGGGTAACATTGCCAACAGAACAACATTGCACGCAGACTAACATTTAACACGTAGAAGGGCTTTCGTGACCAATATTATCCATAAGAGGTTTTTTTTTTTGTTGGTTCTCTCACGTTAATAAAAACGTGTCGCCTGATGATTCTGGTTGTAATCAGTAGTAACGTGCCAATTAGTAGTAACGAATTGGCACGTTTTGAGCACGTGACAAACCCCTTACCAACCGGCTGTGTCGGGTGGCGGCGGGCTTAACGACGCGGCATTTATTTTAAACGCGATCTAGCCGGAGACAGAGAGAGAGAGAGAGAGGAAAAAAAAACAACCTCTTATGGGTAGTCTGTGACGTTTCACACGGACTCACGTTGCAGCACACAGAGCTCGCAGGGTGCGGCGCGTGATGCGAGTCTGTGTACGGCACGGCTTGCCACCGCGACCCCCCCCCCCGTGCGTGTGCGGGGCCTTGTCTTCTTCCCTTGCCCGTGACGGCTTTCGTCTGCGGCCAGGAAAACTCAGATGGTGGTGATGGACACCCTTGACCAGGAGAACGGCAAACTGCGCGAATGCCAAGCTGCCACGGCCTTCAGCACACTGGTAAGTTGAGAAAAAAAGGGGGCGTTTTGAGGTTTGTTTTTTTTCCCCGATAGGGTTGGCCGCCATGAGTGTCCGCGTGACGATGAGCCGCTTTGTGGAGCTGTCCTTCGTGGCCTGGTCGCTGTTGAAAAAGAAGCCGATGGCTCAGTGGGCCATACCCGGTAATGTAAAAAAATACTCTAAGGTTTTTTTTTTCGGTAAAGTCACGTTGGTAAAATGAAATAAAACGAAACGACACAGATACTCTGCTGTGACTGTTCCACCTGAAGACGGAAGCTTGCGTTGCCTCCGAAACGTCGTGATTTAATCTAGTTGTTTTCTTGTATTTTGTTTTACCCACGTGACTTTACCGAAAAAACCAAAGAGTATGAATCCTTGCGTGTCACGAAAGCTTCAAATCGAGAATGAACGTAAAAAAATAGTTTGTCGCTGATTTTTTTCCTGGTGATGATTTTCTTACCTTTCCCTATCCTTTGTAGTGTTCGTTCGTTGTAAAAAAAAAAATTGACCCCGTGGCCCCCCTTACTTGGACACCCGTGAAAAAAAAAGGCTCATCACGTCTCATCAGATCCCATCTGCGGTAAAAAACAACGGATTCCCATACCCCACCGAAGTTTCGCAATCGCGGACCGATGGGAATTTGGCGTCGACAGATCGGCGGTCATCGCCAGCGCCGTTAGCGTTCCGGCTCCGTTCGCGTAGTCACTGCCCACCACGCCCGCCCGCCCCCCCCCCCCTCTCTGCCCCCCACCAACCACCCCCCACGCCTCCCTCGCCTCCAGTTTACAGAGGCGCGGATGTACCAGCAGAAGCTGGTGGCGGTGAGGAGAGACATGCTGGCCCTGCACGAGAAGACCACCAAGCTGAAGGTTCGTCACCCCCTCGGCCCTCCTCCTGCTGCACTCCTAGCGGTGGCGCGGTCGCCACTTGTCGCAGAGGCTCGCGGTTCTGATCAGGCAGGCCGCCCCGGTTAATTGAATGTTAACTACCTCGCCTGGTGTGCAGGAGTTGGTGGGTTCGATCCCGACCCTGACGCCTGCTGCTGTATATTTGGAGTCCGCGTGTCTCTCTCTCATCATCATCACGGTGGCTAGGAGATGTTAACTACCTCGCCAGGTGTGCAGGAGGTCGTGGATTCTATCCCGACCCTGACGCCTGCTGTTGTATATTTGGAGTTTGCGTGTCTCTCTCTCATCGTCATCACGGTGGCTAGGAGATGTTAACTACCTCAGCTGGTGTGCAGGAGGTCGTGGATTCTATCCCGACCCTGACGCCTGCTGTTGTATATTTGGACTTTGCGTGTCTCTCTCTCATCATAATCACGGTGGCTAGGAGATGTTAACTACCTCAGCTGGTGTGCAGGAGGTCGTGGATTCGATCCCGACCCTGACGCCATATATTATCAGAGTGTGTTTTTTTTTGTTTGCATTCTGACCACAAGCATTGTGGTTAATGCAGACGTGATTCCTTGTAAAAGGTTTGAGTTTGGTGCTTAACAACTTAACACAGCTGTTTTGTTGCCAGATGAAAGGGGAAAAACATATTCTCGCGTTTAGAGAGAATTTGCCTGCTGCCATACATTTCCACTTGATGATGACGATGATGATGAGCCACTTCGTTGATAGCCAGGTCGCTTCTGACAAACGAGCTGCGTAGCTCTGTGTGTCTTACCTGGTAAAATAAAAATTGGTTAAATCGCGAGTAATTGCCGCGGTAGTAACCATCGAAATACTCACGGCGGAGACTAACGACCCCCTGGCGTCGTTCGTGTTCGTGCGCCGGCGTCACCGGTTAGAAATTGCCAAATGAGCGAGCGAGTGAGCCACCGGGCGAGTGAGCGAGTGAGCTACCAGGTGAGCGAGTGAGCGAGTGGGGTACCAGGTGAACGAGTGAGCGAGTGGGCTACCAGGTGAGCGAGTGAGCGAGTGAGCTACCAGGTGAGCGAGTGAGCGAGTGGGCTACCAGGTGAGCGAGTGGGCTACCAGGTGAACGAGTGAGCAAGTGGGCTACCAGGTGAGCGAGTGAGCGAGTGAGCCACCGGGCGAGTGAGCGAGTGAGCCACCGGGCGAGTGAGCGAGTGAGCCACCGGGCGAGTGAGCGAGTGAGCAAGTGGGCTACCAGGTGAGCGAGTGAGCGAGTGGGCTACCAGGTGAGCGAGTGAGCAAGTGAGCTACCAGGTGAGCGAGTGAGCGAGTGGGCTACCAGGTGAGCGAGTGAGCAAGTGTGCTACCAGGTGAGCGAGTGAGCTACCAGGTGAGCGAGTGAGCGAGTGAGCGAGTGAGCGAGTAAGCGAGTGGGCTACCAGGTGAGCGAGTGAGCGAGTGAGCTAGTGGGCTACCAGGTGAGCGAGTGAGCGAGTGAGCTACCAGCTGTGCGAGTGAGCGAGTGGGCTACCAGGTGAACGAGTGAGCAAGTGGGCTATCAGGTGAGCGAGTGAGCGAGTGGGCTACCAGCTGAGCGAGTGGGCTACCAGGTGAGCGAGTCAGCGAGTGGGCTACCAGGTGAGCGAGTGGGCTACCAGGTGAGCGAGTGAGCCACCGGGCGAGTGAGCGAGTGAGCAAGTGGACTACCAGGTGAGCGAGTGAGCGAGTGAACGAGTGGGTTACCAGGTGAGCGAGTGAGCAAGTGGGCTACAAGGTGAGCGAGTGAGCTAGTGGGCTACCAGGTGAGCGAGTAAATAAGTGAGCGAGTGAACCACCGGGTGAGCGAGCGAGCGATTGAACGACTAGGCGAGCGAGCAAGTGAGTGAGCGACGAGCAAGTAAATGAGCGACGAGCGAGCGGTGAGCGAGCGGTGAGCGAGTTCGTTAACTGACGGTGCATCGGTCGGGCCCGCTAATTTGCCGAATGTTTGCAGAAGCGAGCGCTGCAGCTGCAGCAGCAGAAGCAGAAGGAAGCGCTGGAGCGGGAGCAGCAGAAGGAGCGAGAGATGGAGCGGGAGCGGCACCTGCTGGCGCGACCCGCCAAGCGTAGCTGACACGCCAGCTGACACGACCCCGCCAAGTGTAGCTGACACACCAGCTGACACGACCCCACCAAGCGTAGCTGACACACCAGCTGACACACCAGCTGACACGACCCCGCCAAGCGTAGCTGACACACCAGCTGACACGACCCCGCCAAGCGTAGCTGACACGCCAGCTGACACGACCCCGCCAAGCGTAGCTGACACACCAGCTGACACACCAGCTGACACGACCCCGCCAAGCGTAGCTGACACACCAGCTGACACGACCCCGCCAAGCGTAGCTGACACGCCAGCTGACACGACCTCACCAAGTGTAGCTGACACACCAGCTGACACGCCAGCTGACACGACCCCGCCAAGCGTAGCTGACACACCAGCTGACACGACCCCGCCAAGCGTAGCTGACACGCCAGCTGACACGACCTCACCAAGTGTAGCTGACACACCAGCTGACACACCAGCTGACACGACCCCACCAAGCGTAGCTGACACACCAGCTGACACGACCCCACCAAGTGTAGCTGACACACCAGCTGACATGACCCCGCCAAGCGTACCTGACACACCAGCTGACACACCAGCTGACACGACCCCACCAAGTGTAGCTGACACACCAGCTGGCACGTGGAGGCTGTGGGTCAGTGTTGAAGCTGTGGGTCATTGTTGAAGCTGTGTGTCAGTGTTGAGGCTGTGTGTCAGTGTTGAGGCTGTGTGTCAGTGTTGAGACTGTGTCAGTGCTGAGACTGTGTCAGTGTTGAGACTGTGTGTCAGTGGTGAGACTGTGTGTCAGTGTTGAGACTGTGTGTCAGTGTTGAGACTGTGTCTCAGTGTTGAGACTGTGTGTCAGTGTTGAGACTGTGTCTCAGTGTTGAGACTGTGTGTCAGTGTTGAGACTGTGTGTCAGTGTTGAGTCTGTGTGTCAGTGTTGAGACTGTGTGTCAGTGTTGAGACTGTGTCTCAGCGTTGAGGCTGTGTGTCAGTGTTGAGACTGTGTGTCAGTGTTGAGACTGTGTGTCAGTGTTGAGACTGTGTGTCAGTGTTGAGACTGTGTCTCAGCGTTGAGGCTGTGTGTCAGTGTTGAGACTGTGTGTCAGCGTTGAGACTGTGTGTCAGTGTTGAGACTGTCTCAGTGTTGAGACTGTGTGTCAGTGTTGAGACTGTGTGTCAGTGTTGAGACTGTGTGTCAGTGTTGAGACTGTGTGTCAGTGTTGAATCTGTGTGTCAGCATTGAGACTGTGTGTCAGTGTTGAGACTGTGTGTCAGTGTTGAGGCTGTGGCCTAGTGTTGAGGCTAGGGGTCAGTGTTGAGGCTGTGGGTCAGTGTTGAGGCTGTGGGTCAGTGTTGAGACTGTGTCAGTGTTGAGATTGTGTGTTAGTGTTGAGACTGTGTGTCAGTGTTGAGGCTGTGGGTCAGTGTTGAGACTGTCTCAGTGTTGAGACTGTGTGTCAGTGTTGAGACTGTGTGTCAGTGTTGAGGCTGTGGGTCAGTGTTGAGACTGTGTGTCAGTGTTGAGGCTGTGGGTCAGTGTTGAGTCTGTGTGTCAGTGTTGAGGCTGTGTGTCAGTGTTGAGGCTGTGGGTCAGTGTCCAGGCTGTGGCCTAGTGTTGTAGTTACTGCACGCCAGTAACCTGTCCCGTATCTACAGAACGAGCGATTTATTTAGTGGCTTTTCAAGAGTAATAATTTAAAGCCTGCATAATTAATTTACCATTACAGAAGTACATTGAACATTGCGAATTATATTTGCTTAATTTAATTTGCACTTAACACGTGTTTTTATCCCTCCCCCCCCCCTCCCCTCCCCAATTAATCGTTGTGTATATAACGCTAATAAATAATGTAAAGGCTTGCAACTAAACTTCTTCTTTTTTCAACAACGTGTCCCGCTGTGCGCAGCTGGAGTGTTTTGCAGCGGCGAAGGCCGCGGGGTTCACATCCCGGTTGGGGGGTTGTTGATTCACCCAACCAATCATCATCGCTCCCTCCCTCCCACCGGGGTCGATAAAACAGGTACCGCGTTGTGGGGGCGGAAGTCGACTTCTATTCTCGCGTACGGCAGCAATGTGGCGCAGGAGATCCCGCGCCAATGTTGCGGAGCTGCTGCCGCTGCTTCCGAGCGGAGAGAGAGTTCGTGTCGTGTCGCCGTTCCTCCTCCGTTGAAGGAGCGCACAGACCACAGCGGGTTTACTGTGTGGCCCATAGACTAAACATTGCCCATAGACTTGACTTGCATTGCTTTAGACTAAACATTGCCCATAGACTTTCATTGCACATAGACTTACATTGCCCATAGACTAAACATTGCCCATAGACTAACATTGTCCATAGACTAAACATTGCCCATAGACTCGCATTGTCCATAGACTAAACATTGCCCATAGACTTACATTGCATTTCGACTTGCATTGCTTTAGACTAAACATTGCCCATAGACTTTCATTGCACATAGACTAAACATTGCCCATAGACTAACATTGCACATAGACTAAACATTGCCCATAGACTAAACATTGCCCATAGACTAACATTGCCCATAGACTAAACATTGCCCATAGACTACATTGTCCATAGACTTACATTGCACATAGACTTGACTTGCATTGCTTTAGACTAACATTGCCCATAGACTAAACATTGTCCATAGACTTACATTGCACATAGACTAAACATTGCCCATAGACTAACATTGTCCATAGACTAAACATTGGCCATAGACTCACATTGCCCATAGACTAACATTGTCCATAGACTAAACATTGCCCATAGACTAACATTGCATTTCGACTTGCATTGCTTTAGACTAAACATTGCCCATAGACTAAACATTGTCCATAAACTTACATTGCACATAGACTAAACATTGCCCATAGATTACATTGCCCATAGACTTACATTGTCCATAGACTAAACATTGCCCATAGACTAACATTGCCCATAGACTAAACATTGCCCATAGACTACATTGTCCATAGACTTACATTGCACATAGACTAACATTGTCCATAGACTTGACTTGCATTGCTTTAGACTAACATTGCCCATAGACTAAACATTGTCCATAGACTTACATTGCACATAGACTAAACATTGCCCATAGACTAACATTGTCCATAGACTAAACATTGGCCATAGACTCACATTGCCCATAGACTAACATTGTCCATAGACTAAACATTGCCCATAGACTAACATTGCATTTCGACTTGCATTGCTTTAGACTAAACATTGCCCATAGACTAAACATTGTCCATAAACTTACATTGCACATAGACTAAACATTGCCCATAGATTACATTGCCCATAGACTTACATTGTCCATAGACTAAACATTGCCCATAGACTTACATTGCACATAGACTAAACATTACCCATAGACTAACATTGCCCATAGATAAAACATTTCCCATAGACTTACATTGCATTTCGACTTGCATTGCTTTAGACTAAACATTGCCCGTAGACTTAACTTTAAATCTTGACTTAAAGCTTTCGTGACTTGCTAGAATTCATACCCTCTGGGTCTTTCGGTAAAGTCACGTAGGTATAAAAAATGAAATGAATTAAATCACGTTTCGGTTGCAACACAAGCGATCGAAACGACGTGATTTTATTTATTTTATTTTACACAAGCAATCAAAACGTCGCGATTTCATTTATTGTATACCCACGTGACTTTACCAAAAGAACCAAAGAGTATGGATCTTTCTGCAGTCACGAAAACTTCAAATCTAGATTAGATCACGCAGATAGGTTCAAAGAAAATAACAAAAACACAACTAAAAACTACGACGTTTCGATCGCAACACAAGCGTGATGACGAACGCTTAACTTTGTTCGTAGACTTATTATGCAGAGACTTACACTGCCCACAGACTGACACTACCCGTGAGTGGGTGAGTGTTGTGACCTGCAGCGTGGTGAGTGGGTGAGTTGTTGTGACCTGCAGTGTGGTGAGTGGGTGAGTTGTTGTGACCTGCAGTGTGGTGAGTGGGTGAGTGTTGTGACCTGCAGTGTGGTGAGTGGGTGAGTGTGTTGTTGTGACCTGCAGTGTGGTGAGTGGGTGAGTGGGTGAGTGCGCGAGTGGGTGAGTGTTGTGACTTGCAGTGTGGTGAGTGAGCGAGTGGGTGAGTGTTGTGACCTGCAGTGTGGTGAGTGGGTGAGTGTTGTGACTTGCAGTGTGGTGATTGGGTGAGTTGTTGTGACCTGCAGTGTGGTGAGTGGGTGAGTGGGTGAGTGAGCAAGTGGGTGAGTGTTGTGACCTGCAGTATGGTGAGTGGGTGAGTGGGTGAGTTGTGACCTGCAGTGTGGTGAGTGAGCGAGTGGGTGAGTGTTGTGACCTGCAGTATGGTGAGTGGGTGAGTGTTGTGACGTGCAGTGTGGTGAGTGGGTGAGTGTTGTGACCTGCAGTATGGTGAGTGGGTGAGTGTTGTGACCTGCAGTGTGGTGAGTGAGCGAGTGGGTGAGTGGGTGAGTTGTTGTGACCTGCAGTGTGGTGAGTGAGCGAGTGTTGTGACCTGCAGCATGGTGAGTGGGTGAGTGGGTGAGTGTTGTGGCCTGCGGTGGTGGTGTTGGTGGAACACGGCGCGATGGATGAGACGGCACAGTCGGTGCCTCGATGACCAAGTCTGCGAGTGACGTTCACGTTGAGACGGTGACCACGTGACGGTGACCACGGCAGTAGCGGTGTGACGAGGGGGCGGCTGGCTGCCGAAAGCGAAATACCGGCTCATCAATAAAGCTGGCCGCTTTAATACCGTCAATTAAATATTAATAACATGTAATGCCGTCATTAAAATGCTTCTTTGAAGACGCTACGGGTGGCCCTGCACATAATGTATCCATTATAGATGACTGTAATGGTGCATAGCAGGTGCTATAGGCTACAGTGTCAGCATCAAGTGGGGAGCGGTGGCGCAGCGGTTAGCGCATTGCCCTACGAACCCCGGTTAACCCGAGTTTGATTCTCGCTCACGGCCACCAACACCGGTGACGATGATTATCTGAACCCCTAGATCGACTTGGCCTCAAACGAGTACCTG